GCTGTAACCGGTGCGCTTGCCGAGCATCAGGGAGTAGGCGAGAGCGGCGGAACCGGAGGAAATGTGGACGGGAGTACCTCCGGCAAAGTCGAGGGAGCCGAGGGTGAACAGCCAGCCGTTGCCGTTCCAGGTCCAGTAAGCAATCGGGTCGTAGACGATGGTGGCCCAGATGAAGGCGAAGACCATCGCGGGGAGAATGCGACCGCGGTCGGCGATGGCACCAAGAGCGAGGGCGGGACTTTTTTCGTGTTAGTTCCTGGTGCTACCGGCAAAATTTGAGACCTGCGTCGCAGCGGGCGCTCTCATGCACATCTGCGGCGTAGACCAAAATCTCACCACAGATGCGCGATGGTACGACGGAGGGGGATGTGGTCTACTCACGTAATGGCAGCGAACATGCCCTGGTAGAGGCAGAACAAAATATCCGGGAGCTTCGTCGAGCCGACGGAGGGCTGGGCGACGACATCCTTGAGACCAAAGTTCGACATGTCGCCAAGGAAGACGGAGCCGGTGTGAGAGAAGGTCAAGGTGTATCCCCAGAAGAACCATTGGAAGCCCACCACTCCAACACATATCATCGATATCAGAATTAGGGACAGCGCCGACTTGCGGCGAGCCAGACCCGAGTAGAAGAAACCGACACCGGGAATCATGAGCAGCACGAGTGCTGAGCAGACCATGATCCAGGCCATATCACCAGACTACCAAAGTCAGATATGCTCGAAACCCCTTGTCGACGGTGAACTGACCTCGTAGAAGACATTGAAGTCGGTGACGTTGGTCGAGTAGCCGGCGTCGGCCTCGCCCTCGGTTCCATTGTAAGGAAGGGCGTAGAGAGACATCTTGGTGGTTGTGCGCCGGCGCGAGTGCGGTCAATGGATATTACTTGGCGAGATAGAACCTAAGAATCGTCTCTTCTTTCGCCGGGCCACTCGTCCTCGTGAACGGCGAGCAGACGTCGAAGAGGGTGGAATGGAAATAGGGTGCGGCAGGGAGGAGAGGGACGGAGGGAAGGGGGAGACCACGGTTATGAAGTCTTCCTTCCGGGTCCAGGCCAGATAAATGATACGGAGCAAAATTATCAGGCAGGCCGGGGCGTGGGCGTCGCCTTGGACCTTCGGTCCTCGTGGTAAGCTGGCCGACATTGTGCATACAGTACTAGGTAGGTATCTCTTGATATGGAACTCCCCCGAACAGGGTAGGGATGGGCAGCCCATGGAACTGGTGCAGAAGAGATGATGAAGGGGAGCTCAGAGACCGAAGAGATGGGACGGGGAGCAAGCTGATTGCTCAGTCCTCTATGCCGGGAACACCAATAGCGCAGGGCCAAGGGGTGGGGAGGAAAGCATAAAAAAGGGCGAGATGGATTCGAGCTGCATGCTGAGAAGGGCATCTTGGGACGAGCTTCCCAAATCCTTCTCCGTCTCCGAGAGACGAGACTAGGCCGCGCCGTGTTCCTCTACCGGGTAGCAGTGGTACGAGGTCCGTCTGGCTGTGGGAGAGCTTCATCGAGAACGCCCTACCCACGCTGATAGATACGTACCTGTACACCACATGCTTGCGAACCCATGCTCGTGGCCCATGTCTCCAGGTCTTGTGTGGGTCGGGAAAATATGTGGGAACTGATAAGGAATTTGGAGTGAGAGAGACCGGGGTGTGGACGGTCGTGAGGTGAGTCGTCTAGGATCGGGGGACTCGGATGGAAGCTAATTCAGGCCCTTCGACGGTGCCGTGGCTCTTGGCAAGCTGGGCCATCGAACGTTCTTTTGTCCGTTGACCACAAGTAAACAACCTTTTTGGCGCTGAAGAGATCTTCAAAGGCCTGGAAATACGATGGAGTGTTTGCCCCCAACATCACTGATGGCTTGTGCTCAGTTGATCAGATCCCCGTATGCGGAGAGAATCAACAAAGCCCACGGTCATCCGCAGGCTCAGCAGCCCGCGGGTCTGGATGCCCCATCGTCCGGTGTTGCTGTTCGTTTGTTTATCGGACGGCACGGAAAACTCGTAGGGAAACGGTAGGTAACTTCAGGGTCTTGCACCGCAGCGCAAGGTAGTCCCTCGGGCTCGAGAGTATGTCGACATTGAATGCAACACTGAAAACCAAGACAAAGTTTTCCTCGTCTAGCGCCCAGATTGCGACACGATCCAGACTGTGCTGGCGCAAGCAACAGCCTGAGCCGAGACAGCCAAGGCTGCAAGAAGTAGGCGATCAGAACACTTTGAGATTGAAGGAAAACCGATGAGGAGGCATGCTGTGCCTCATCAACGCGAGCCGCAACGGCAAAGACGTGTTTGTGAGGCGCGCGGCCAATTGAAAGTGTTCATTTCCCTTCCCTGCGTGTTGCTTAAGGCACCTCGTAAGCCCGCGCTCGCCGGCTCTTCCTGGCCACGGCCTAGTGGGGGTGAGTTCGGGGCAGCAACAGGCATCGCCGTGCATCGGATTGCTGTCTTTTTTTCAGTTGACTTGCGTATTGTTTTGATGCAACAACATCTTTGTGGTGCCATTCGATAGAACGTCCAAGCATCAAATCCAGCAAAGATGTTATTTATCGCTATCCCTAGCCGCCGCCTGCTGTCTGGGAAGCAATGACAACAAATAGCGGCACTGGTCCAAGATTAGAGCCAGGCGCCAAACGAATCCTGCGCGTTGCCGCATTCCAGAAGACTTCCGATCGGAGACGCGGACGGGACTTGGTTTTGAAGCGGGCCGCTTGATGGGAGGATGCCTGTCATCGCACCGATTCAAATCTTCGCACGAGCGATTGTGTGCGAAGGGATGCATGCGACCGTGCCTGTTGACAGGGCTGGGGCATGGTTTGCAGCTTGCGCGACGCCACAACCTCGTTGAATGTTGACATCAAACATGGAAAACTGTGTCAGAGTTGCACGACTTGTTCAGGCGGACGTTGTATCTGATCCTTCCAACTTCTACAAATATCAACCAATCGAGCATTGACAGACCACGCTGGCTGCCGGCAGGATCAGCAGTTCCGAATCCTAGATACATTGACGCAGCCACAAGCTTCTGTGCGCGGCGAGAAGGCTTGGATCGTCAGCAAACCGCCGTTTAGGTTTGACAAGACTAGCTTCGCGCCATCTGCTGAGCTATCGAGACGTTCGGGACGGAAAAGCAATAAGGTGGGAGCGTTTTGACTTTGGAGAAGATGGCTTCCGGTCCCGTTTGTGCGGGAAGAAGCAACGATACCGGAGAGCCTCTTCATCAACGCCCCGAGGGAAAGGCTTCACAAGAAGAAAGCCCGATGTCGCAGACCGTGCTGAATCGTGGACCGCGACTTGGGTGCCAATCCTCTTCGAAGCTGGGCTAGGTCTCAGATGTCCAAGAGGTGCACTCAGCGAGACGGTCTGGGAGGCCCCAGGGCCGGTGGACAGAGACCGAATCGCTAATCTGAGCTTACATTGGAGCGAGCTGGATGGGGATATGTCGGGCCCCAGAAGCGGAAAGGTGGGTTGGCTAGGCGAGCGTGGCCGGGGCTGGTTCCGTGGATGGCTGGCTTTGATTGCAGCGGCTGGCCAGGTTGATTCGCGCAGGACCGTTGGAAGGATCCTGCAAGATGCAAGACTTTTGCTTTTGTTGGTCTGACTTCTGCTGCTGCGCCGTAGGCTGAAATGTCGGGAATCCTTCAGGTCCACCAATAGATAAGACACTGGCACATGTGCAATAGGCAGGCCGCGGGTGCTCAAAGAACGTTGAGCGGTAAGTAATTGGAATGTCTAAGAGACGCCATTGAGTGTGGCCTGATATGGTGTATCTATTCAATTATGGGGTGGCTGTTGAATATCGATGGTTGACTGATGCAGCCAAGCAACCCGTGGATGACGGGGCTGACTGATGGCCATTGGCAGGTGACGGCGGACAACTTAAGAGCAAGATAGTACGGGAATCGCAGCCTTGAGGATATCGATTGATAGCCATAATGGCTTTACTTGATTTCACCTACCGAGCTGAAAAAAGAGCCATGGTCGTGGCGTCGTAGATTGCCCACGATGCGGGTGACGAGAACGCCAGGTGGACGACTTCACGAGCCAAAAGTGTGTGGTGGTGTCTTGGAAGAAGCCAAAGTGTCGTCATGGTCGCCCGGATGGAGCACGGAGATGTTAAAGCCAAGACATTGAAATGCCTCTGAGACCTCTCATTTGATGGCGAAGTCTTATGGTTGTTCAATATAATCCATCAAGAGGGAATGTTGTCGATGGTGGTGGCACGCAGTATGAATCATGGATGATTTGAGGTGGATGAACCAAGGCCAGTGCTCACCTTTTTTTCTCCGGATGCCCAGACCGAGGCTTCTCCAATAGCAGCACCGGGAAAGCGTCTTGTACTCACCATGTATCCAGAGGAAGGGTACGCTAATAGGAAGCTGCTGCGTCTGGCTCCATTTCTGCTGCCTTGTGGACAGTGGACAATCTCCCAAGTGACAGGACATGAACCACCACCCTCCACCCACCCGCCGCGAAATACTCGCTCCACTGCCACGAAGCCTTTAAGAGAAGCTGCTTCACAGGTGCTTCCCCATTCGCCAAAGCTTCTTATCTCTCGGCACGGTGGAGGCTTGTGTCTAGCGGCATCTTGGCACTGATAAGGCCAGCCAGGGTCCGCTGGAACCAACCGAACCCATGCCCGTCATGCAAGGGTCCCCCCATGTCCCCCTTTCCCTTCCCACCGCGACCGGTTGAAATGGACTGGACCGTTGAAGGTGAGACTGACGGTCGACCAACTTTGACCGAAGGAAGCCTGAGGGAAGCATTGCAGGCAGCCTGTTGGGTGACATTGCACATCTATCCTGCTGCTGCAGTTTACGGAGCCCTCGTCCAGCTCCCAACCCAGGCCGTCGGGTTCATCCAAACATGGACCACCTGGAAACATCTCTATTCAATGAAATTCACTCGTCTTATCTGGACATGAGAAGATCACTGTTTTCCATCGTCGATTGAGCTCTTATGAAGTCTTGTAAGAGGACGGGTCGTGAAACTGGTCGTCATGCTGCACCTTTACGGTCGACCGCCACAATCCCTACCGTCTCATATCCGCGTCCCCATTCGCGTCCTGATTCGACTTCCATCCCCGCCCAGCCTGGACTGCATCGGCTCAGAGAAGCCGGATAGCGCTTTTCTGCTCTTGTGATGCAGATAGTCTGATACCGCAGATATCGCAGCAATCTCTGATAGCTGGTCCCCGATTGTCTGACACGTCTTTGCTCCCTCCTGCTGGCCGTGCGCTGGCGCATTTTGATTCAGCTGTCACTCGCTTTCTGTCCTCGGGGTCAATCTCATCCCCCGCCATTCCCATGGACTTGTGGCCATCATTATTGCCAAGCATGCCTCTAAGTGAAGATCAACTCAACGCTATATCTAGACTCTGTACCCAGCAGCCTCTCGCAAACGCGAACAAAACTGTCAATATCGGAGGTCTGTCATAGTTTCGAGAAGTGAAGTCGGAATAGACCATCTTGAACCATTAGAGCACTCTTCATCACGTCACACAGCGGCCGCACGGAGCTTTTAGAGTTCTTAGACCACACCTGTTCCTGCTCCTGCCGTCCCGTCAATCTGGTATCGTCCCACTGACTTGCGTTCTTGCGGGCGTTCTCACCCATCCATGTCTTGGCCGAGCACCCGACCAGAACCACTCAAACAATCTCTTAGCCATCTGAGCGCTTGCCGTAGCCATTCACGTGTCTGCGGGCGCAAGACTCGCAGGTTACTTATACCAGCTTCATCCCTCTCTTCAAACGTTTGGTGATTGCGTCACGAGGGTTCATCTCGTAAGATATTCCAACGATACTCGAACGTTGCTCGATGACGGCATTCGCTCACACTCCCTGACCACAACTGCAACGACCTCGCAAACCGAGCCATGGTATTTCAAAGAATTCCATTGAACACGCCGATTGCGGTATTGAATTGAGAATGGATTATGCAACAGGCTCACGTCATGAGAGCGTTCTCTAGGTTTGACGTTGAGGTATACAATCAGCAACATGTTATTTCTAACTTTGGTCGACTGTGGAAACCAGAGTTCGAAATAGTCAAAACGAGCTTCGGATCGAGGTCTCTGATACCGATGCCAACCAGCGAACATGAGGTTCCATTCCAGTGGAAATGTGGACTCGAGACGAACTTCACAAGTGCTACAAGGCCGATAAATTAGACTTTCAAATGAGCGTAGAAATGTATAGTGGGAAGATTGATCTCTGAGGCAAGTGAAGAGACTGGCATTATAGTAGTTGCTATCATTTCTACGATAGAATACATAACTCTGTGTAATAAACCCCAGTAGATGATTCATCTGCGCAAAACTTCATCTCTAGTACTCATAGAGGTAAGTCTTTCTTTTATTAAGTTCTTCTTAATATTAGAAAAAACTTCTAAATTAAATAGACTATAGTTAGTATAGTATTAATAGAGATATTCTAAGTAATAGCTTTATAGGTATAAAGTATCTTATACAATTAAGGAGTAGCTAATATTCTATTACTAGTATTTATAATTAAGTTAGAGAGCTAATTATAAAGCTAATAATTATAGAGAAGTTTTATTATTTATTAATTAATATTTAGTTATATTAATTATAGTAGTGATTTCATTAATAGCGTTTAAATAAGTTACTAATTACTTTATAGTCTCTTATATAATACTATAGTAATTACTATAAATACTATTAAAACTATAAAGTGGGGGATAACTACTATCTATAATTCTTTTAGTGTTAAATAACTTATAATAAGTAAAATATATTAACAGAATAGCGATAGTATTTAGGTTAGAGATTATAAGATTCTTTAATATAGTATATATAGTGTCTAGAATATAAGTAATATTTTACATACTTCTGTTAAGACTCTACTTACTGTAAAAAGCCTTTTTAAATATATCTATCTGTTACGACCCGTTATGCAGGAATAACAGATAACCGACCCACTTAGGCATCAGGCGGCTAGAACAGGACATTTGTACTCTGCAGGATCACGGGAACAACAGGGACTCACTTGGAACGGAAGAACTATGGTATAAGTCACGTGACGATAAGATAGGACTAAGCAGATAGTGTGGATTAATGAGCGCTCAGCAGTAATTACTGAGCGCTCACTCATAATCACTAAGCGCTCACTAATACTTAGTTAGGAATCAGTAGTAGGACAAAAGGAACTATTTAGAACTTATATATAGTATAACCCTAAGCCTAGGTTATAGTCAGACTTCTATAGCTCTTCAGCAATTAACTTAATATTCATCCTTATAGATACTCTCAGCTTACCTTCACTATAAATTATTTATTAAGTCTAAGACTGATCACTTTAGCCTCGAAAGACTAATCTACTATAGCTTATAACCTACAACCTAGACCACAACCCTAATATACTATTATAATATATTAATCTCCAGCTTCTATTAGTAGACCTTACTATTAGATAGCTAACTATAACACTTTAATTGCTCCTATTTAATAAGTTAACTATTAACACCTACTAATAGTAAAACGATAAGTATATCTTCTTATGCTTCAGCTAAGTCCCCTACCCTAGGATCTTTATCTTCCTCATGCAACCGGCCTTAGAGTCTGGCGTAGGAACTTGCCAGCGTTAAAGATTATAACATATTGGACCTTAAGTATAACTCCAACAGAGAAGGCTTCTTCACTAAAGAAGGTTATAAAAAGCTTTGATGTATTATCTAGAAATAAGATGCTAAATCTAAAGAAATATAGACCTTTATTAATAAAAATACGTAGGCTATAAATAACCTTAATAAGCAACTCCAGAACGCTGGATAAGCTTATAAGAAACTTGAGAAAGACCTCAGAGGAGACGCCAACCTCAAGAAGGTCCAAGAGCTCTAAGAAGAACTTAACACCCTCCAAGCTGCTGCTAATATTATTACTACCCCTATTAGAGGATAATATAAACTTAAGCTTAACACCTTAATCACTTATAACAGCACCTCTAAATAACTTAAGAGTTTCCTGATCTAAGTTAAGAATTACTAGAACTTCTACTATAGCGACTTCACCAGTTAAACTGAGAAAATGGTTTATATAGCCACCTACCTTCACAGAAGAGCCCTTAAGTGGTTCAAACCTATTCAAAAAGAATTTCTCAAATATAAAACACTAAATAAATGCTTTACTAAGACCTATAATATCTACAGCAGTTTTTAAGGATTTAAAGACGCCCTATGCTCTCTCTCTTCTAAAACCCTAATAAGAAATAATAAGCAGAAAGGGAACTAATATAACTATAATAAACTAAATCTACTAAGGAATATATTACTATATTCTAATAACTTAGCGTCTAGCTTAACCTTACTAAAGAAACTAAGATCTTTATGTTCTATTAAGGACTTAAAGATAAAGTTAAAGATGAGATTATTAAGATTAACCACGCTAAAGACTTCCTTCAGTATTCTAACCTTACTATCAAAATTAATAATTAACTTTTTAAACGCTATAAGGAAAAAGGTAAAAGATAATAAGGACTAAACTCCAGACGTAAATACTAATAGTAACCCTAGCAGAAATTTAACCACCAATAGAACAACAACAAACCCCACAGCAATTAGAACAACCCTCAACAAAGCATTACTTATAGATAATACAGCAGACCTATAGATCTCAGCATAATAACTAAATCTAATAATAAGAAACCTTAGAACCCTAAATGCTATAACTGCAATAAGTAAAGCTATATCGCTAAAGACTATAGACAACCTAAAAAGCTCCCCTGGAAACCAGTAGCTAAGCAACCCTAATAAGTTAATATAATCGCAAAAGCCCTATATATATCCCAGCCCTAGACCAGATATTATAATAATAACTACTAGATTCACCTCAAAGATAAAGAAATATTAGGACACTACCTAAGGGATAGCAACCCTAAACAGTCTAGATATAATATAACCATCCTAGACACTCACCCTAGGACCTTAGTAATAATATATTCTAATAATAGCAAAGTTGCTAGAAAACCAGTTGAATAACTTAATAAGATGCTATAAATTCAGCAATTAAAGCTAATCACCCCACATATAACTAGCCAGCAACTCTATTATAAAGAATAATAAATCTAAAAGGAGATAGAGCTAATTAAGCAAGAAGATAACAGATAAATATAACTAATAGAATCTGAAGAAGAACTAGAATATTAATATAACCTCCTAATAGAATAATAACTCCTCAGTATAACCTACAACTAGACCTTTAGAGAAGGAGAAAGCTCACCCTATAACTCAAATAAACCTTACGACGTTGCCTAATAAAACGCTCAGATAGAAATCACCTATAGACTCACCCCTAGTGTGGACAACACTAGTTCTAAAGAAGACTCTGATACTAAAGAAATAACATAACAACTCCTTTAGTATAAAGAAGTGAATATATTATAAGATAAATAATAACAGCACTTCTATAGGATCTCAGCAGCATAATAGGATTAAGATTACACCCCTAAGCTCTACACAGAAGACCATCCTGCATTATAAAGTAACTACTAATAATATTAAACCTTCTTATAGCCTTAATATTTCTTTAATAAATGCAAAGAATATATAGGAGATAAGTATAACTATTAGTTCTACCCTAGAAGATATAACAACAAACCTGTTAAGGATGTTTATGCTATATATATTATAATTAGATAGATAATAACAACTTTTAACAAAATGATTACTACCTTTCAACCAAGCCTACAGTTCCCTATGAGATGCCAGTATGACAACAGTATGAAATAGAACGAATGCTAGCGCGACAAATGCCAAGTCTATTATTAAGATAAGGCCTGCGCATAGAGAATTATAAAGAATGGACTAAGACCTCCTCAGGTTAAAACCTATAAGAACAGCCTCACTAAGGTAGTATGGGAAGGAAAACGCATCACCTACCTAGGATAGGATAACTAGAGCAGTTAAAAAACTAGGCTTACCTACTAACGATAGATCATAATAGGTAATAAGGAAAAGATCTATCTACTAAATATTATAAGGATATAAAAATAATACAGAACTTAAAGTTACTATTAATAAATAGATAACACTTATGCTAATTAACAGTAGAGCTAAAGCAAACTTTATTACCCCTTAAGCCATTAATAGGCTAGAAATATAATAAGGAGGAAAAGAGCAACTATATTAGTTATATATAGCAGAAGGAGAAGAATTTAAGTATAAAGGAGGTACTATCTATAATAAGACTACGCCCTTTAAGATAAGCTACCTAAATTAAAAAGAAAGAATCTAATTTGATATTGCCGATCTAGGAACATACAACATAATGCTAAGGTTACCCTGGCTATAAACAAATAACCCACAGATAGATTAGAGCAAAGGCTAACTCTATTAGGACCATAACGACTTAGTCCCTAAGCAGTACTATAAAAGGCAGGCCTCAAATAAGCTGACATAATAAGAAACAGCAAAATGATATATCTGCTACCTTAAAGCAAAAGAAGCTATATTATAACTATTAATAACAACAGATCTCAAACAAACGAATAATCTACTTCTATCTATCCCAGAAGAATATAGAGTTTATAAGAAACTCTTTATAGCTAAGTTAGAAACAGGACTGCCTAAACATACTAGCTTTAACCACAAAATCCCCCTCAAGGAAGGAAAAGAGCTATAATTCAATAAGATTTATAGATTTAACTAGATTAAAATAGAAGCCTTAGATAAATACCTTAAAGAAAACCTTAAGAAAGGATATATTAGACCTTCCACCTCACCAGCAGGAAGCCTAATCCTATTTATACTAAAGAAGAACAGAAAACTATAACTATATATTAACTACTGCATACTTAACAAAATAATAATTAAGAATTATTACCTACTACTACTTATTAACAAAATGAGATAACTTCTCTATAAAGCTAACTAGTTCATAGCCCTTAACCTTAAAGGAGCTTATAACCTTATTAGAATAAAGTAAGGAGAAGAATGGAAGACTGCCTTTAGAATATAAAAAGGACACTTCAAATACCTTGTTATGCCCTTCAGCCTTATTAATACCCCTGCAATATTCCAGAATATAATCAACTAAGTTCTATGCAAATATATTAATATCTGCATAGTAGTCTATCTTAATGATATCCTCATCTTTTTATTAACACTTAAGAAATATAAAAAAGATATGCACCATATCTTATAAGCCCTCTAAGAAGCTAAGCTGTTAGTTAAACCTAAGAAAAGCAAATTCTATATATAAAAGGTGGAATACCTCAGATTCACTATCACCCCTAGGAAAGTCTATATATCAGAAAATAAAGTTAAAGCTATTAAGGAATAGCTAGTACCTAATAACCTTAAGGAAGTCTAAGGATTCTTAGGTTTTATTAACTTCTACTGTAAGTTTATTAAAGATTATAGTAAGATTATAATAGCTTTTATAAGCCTCAGCTGCAAAGATATACCCTTTATATAGGAAGAACCATAATAAACAGTATTCCAGAAGATTAAGGACCTTATCGCTAGTAAGCCTATCTTAATTATTCCAGACCTAATAAAGCAGTTTGAAATAGAGCCTAATATATCTAACTATATAATTAGAGCGTAACTATCTTAATAAGATTCAGAAGGATAACTATATCTATACGCCTTCTTCTCTCGCAAGCTCTATAGACCCAAACTCAACTATCAGTTCTATAATAAGGAACTCATAGCAATTATTAAAGCCTTTGAAGAATAGAGACCTAAGCTCTTAGGAACTATCCACAAAATACTTATGTATTTAGACTATAAGAACCTTTCACACTTTATAACTTTAAAAGTATTAAATAAATAACAGATTAAATAGTTAAAATTCTTATTAAAATTCAACTTCTAAATTATCTACTATAAGGGATTAGATAATAGCAGAGCTAACACCTTTAGCTGATAACTACACTATAACATCCTAATACCTAAAGAAACCTAGGTGATCCTTAAAGGAAATAATAATAGAGACCTAATACTAATAACTAAACTCTTAATAATAGCTGGACAATCTAATACTAGCTCACCTAGCGAACTAGATAACGAAATAATTATGGAGTTTCATGCTCACCCTATATATAGTCACTAAGGAATTATAAAAACCTAGAAATAACTATAATAATAACATAGAGAAAAGGTCACTAGAGAATATATAGCAAAAGTAATTAAGGACTGTAAGGTCTGCTTTAAAAGCAAACCTGCTTAACATCAACCTTATAGTATACTACAACCTTTACCTATACCACAAACCGCCTAGCAATCCATATCACTTAACTTTATCGTCAAACTACTGAAGTCTTAAGAACCCCTTATAGGAGTACACTTTAACAGCATTCTCATTATTATAGACTAACTTATAAAGTACGCCTAATTGATCCTATATAAGGAATTAAGTAACGCTAAAGAATATGCCTATATATTTCTCAAATATATTATCACTAATTATAGAATACCTAAGGAAATTATGTCAGATAGAGATAAGATCTTCACCTCTAACTTTTAGAAGTTAATCATATCATACCTCAGTATTAAATAATTAATATCTACTGCATTCCACCTGCAGACTGACGGACAAATAGAATAAATTAACTAAATCCTTAAAACCTACCTCTACGCCTATATTAATTATAACTAGGATAATTAGGTTATATTACTATTAATAGCCTAATTTGCCTATAATAGTGCAGTAGGAGAAAGTATTAAGGAATCCCCCTTGTACCTTAATTATAGATTTAAACCTACTGCTTATAGAGAACCCTAAGCAGGCCTAGCTCCAGTCAAAGCTGTTGCCTCAGTATAATAAATTAAGGATATCTAAGATAACGCATATAAAGAACTCAAATTTATATAATAATAAATAGTATGGTTTAGTAATTAATAAAGGATTAAGGGACTAACCTTAAAAGAGGGAGATAGCACTTATCTTATATAGCAAAACATCAAGACAAAGCAACCAAATAATAAACTTAACTACAAAAAACTCAGACCTTTCAAAATCTCACAAGTGATTTCATTAGTCAACTACAAACTCAAACTCCTAGAAACCATAAAATACTACCTAATATTCTATATCTCACTTCTTAAGCCAGCCCTATAAGGTTTACAAATAGATAACCTCATTATTATAGAAGATAATAAACTAAAATATAAAGTAGAATAAATTATAGACCACCTTAAAGAGCTAGAAAGGTATTAATACCTTATCAAATAGAAAGGATATAGATATAAAGATAATACATAGGAACTAGCTAAAAATATCACTAATATAGCAGAAGAACTTATAATCTACTAATAATAACACTAAGAATGAGAAGTTATACTAACACCTTTTATACTAGTCTAAAAGAACACTAAATATAAGCAAATTAAACACCTATATTACTTCATTAAACCACCTACTAAAGTAGATCAACTATAATAAGGAAAACTATTTATTCACTTAGGAACCTTAAAATATAACTAAGACTCCCTTAATAAGAAGTTTAAAGTACTAGGATTCCAGTCGCCTAGAACAGCATCTAGGTTAACCACGCTAAAACCACCTATCAACTACACCTCCTGAACTGCAGGAGACCCTAAAAAAGGAGCCCCAGAAGACTTATCTTCCTCTGCTACTACTAACATCTCCTTACAACCTTTCTTAAAAATCATCTGCTTCGCCTTACAAACGCAATCCAATTTGGCAAGAGCTTCATTCACTTCAGCCTACGCCTTTTGCAGCGCTTCTATTCTCTTCCAAAACAACTCTTCAGTTTCCTCCTCCTCATCATCCAAACAACAAGATTCCACTATTAATCATTCCACTATAATAAGTTAGCAAAAAATAAAGGAACTATATAAAAACAGACCTATATTAATAGAATATATTATTAGAAGTATTATAAGAATAATAAGTGCTACTAATAGCAATATACTCCCTACACACCAGGGAGCCTAGCAGCATTTTATAGCATAACCCCTTAGAATAATAACAATAATAAAGCATGACTTTAAATCTGTTCTCAGTAATATTAAGAGAACAACAGTAATAACAAAGCGTGGAAATTGCAGGATTATTAATAATGCAACCTGACATAATATTAGCATCATAAGTAAATCAGGAAGCATAATTAATAGATCCCCAACCTAGGACTAACAACCTACTTATATTAGGTCTTAAGGATAAGACCTTTAGAGAGGGGACCTGATGTTACAACCTGTTATGCAGGAATAACAGATAACCAACCCACTTAAGTATTAGGCAGCTAGAACAGAATATTTATACTCTATAGGATTATAGGAATAATAGGGACTCACTTAAAATAGAAGAACTATAATATAAGTTATATAATAATAAGATAGGACTAAGCAGATAGTGTGGATCACTAAGCGCTCAGCAGTAATTACTAAGTGCTCACTTATAATTACTAAGCGCTCACTAATACTTAGTTAGAAACCAGTAGTAAGATAAAAGGAACTATTCAGAACTTATATATAGTATAACCCTAAGCTTAGCTTATAGTCAGACTTCTATAGCTCTTCAGTAATTAACTTAGTATTCATCCTCACAGATACTCTCAGCTTACCTTCACTGCGAATTACTTGTTGAGTCTAAGACTGATCACTTTAGCCTCTAAAGACCGATCTACTACAGCCTACAACCTACGACCCAGACCACGACCCCAGTATGCTGTTATAACGTGTCAATCTCCAGCTTCTGTTAGCAGACCCTACTGTCGGATAGCTGACCGTAACACTATCCCCTTAAAGACCTAGGCCTAAAGGTTATTAATATTTAAAGTGATAACTTTGATAGATTTTAACTAGTTAATAATGTTCCTAAGAGTGCTTTAGGCGATTATAACGTCCTTATCCAGATTAAGGCTGTTTCCCTTAACTACTGAGACCTGGCTATCCCTAGGGTATGTGCTTCTGAAAACCAGTCTGGCCAGTTTTAATGCTTATGTGCTGATAAACCTAGGGACTTTACCCCTTTGCAATGAAGACGCCTGTTATTGCGGGCTCCGACGGCGCAGGCATGGTTTTGGCTGTTGGGCCTAAGGTGAACGACTTCACCGCTGGTGATAAGGTCTGCGCCTTGTTCCACGAGCTTCATCAGACCAACCTAATCACACCCGAGGCCTTGGGAAGTGGTCTGGGCGGAGTTGTTGATGGCACCCTGCGCAAGTACGCTGTGTTCCCTGACCACGGCCTAGTCATTGCTCCGTCTACTCTAGACTCTGTTGAAGCTAGGACTTTGACTTGTGCGGCTTTGACAGCTTGGAACGCTCTTTTCGGTCTGAAGAAGCTGAAGGCGGACGATTGGGTTCTGACTCAAGGCATTGGCGGCGTCAGCTTGGCTGCTATTCAATTCGCTGACACCACAGGAGCGACAGTCGTTGCAACTACGTCTTCAAACGACAAAGCTGACATCCTCAAAAAGATGGGTGTTTCGCATGTCATCAACTATCGAGATGTTGCCGAATGGGAGATGCCGCCAGGGCCCTCACTATCGAGGGACTTGGCTTCGATCATATCCTCGAGATTGGCGGAGCAGCTATTGTGGCCCAGTCATTGAAGGCAATCAAACTTGAAGGCCTTATCACGATAATTGGCTTCTTGACCTTCGCTGAGAATGACCAACAGCCAAACTTGATAGAAGCTCTAAATCATATTTGCACTGTTCGAGGCATCTTCGTCGGATCTCGGGAGCAAATTGTCGAAATCAATCGCGCTATCGATGAGTGGAATATCAAGCCGATTGTAGACGCTAAGGCCTTCCGCTTTGGAGAGGCACAGATGGCTTATGAGCGCCTTTGGGGGAGAATGAACTCTGGTAAGGTGGTTGTCAGGATTTAATGGCGTCTGCTTGCGATAAAGGAAGTTTCATGCACCGAGTATCCGCATATCAAGTCAAGTATCATACAACGCAGATGATGTCAAGAAGTGTAAGGTGTCTTAGTCTCATGTGATCTAACATCTTGTGGTACGTATGGTAACCAAATTTTCTTGATATGATCAATTGTTAGACCACTTATTCTATGCGAGCTTACCCTTATCATCAGCGAGCGATCTTCTTGTCCAGAAAACCCATGGCAAGGGATGGGGTGAACGTCTGCAAGCTTCGTTCGATTTGCCGTCCTCGAGTAAAAGTACCTGTTTTGTGATTTGCGTGAATGAAATGAAAACGGGTTAACGAAATTAGTAGTGAAAGTATCTTAGCTGACTATGATCTGTTTCTATCAAAGGTAGAGTTTGAATAATAGGACAAAGGGACTTTCTTCGTAAACAAACCGCGAAGAGCAGAACGATAAAGGTGTCTGTCCGTTCCTGTCTTCTGAATATATACTGGCCTGACCCGTGTCTAATAACAGTTTGGCAGGTTCAACATAGCCAGTCTGGGCTGCATGTAATAGTGGTGTTCGTCCCCAGTTGTCCCGAGACTCCACCTCGACCCGACCTGTCTCAAGAAGAAGCTTGACCTTTTGTGCCGCAGCGCAGACTGCACCAACACCATAGAACAAACTTCCTGCAGCATATGACAAAGGTGTTCTCCCCGACTCGTCTCTAGCGTCGACCTCGACCATACCAGTGTCTAGCAAGAGCTTCATGTTATTTGGAAAGGCCTTCAGTGCAGCATACGACAACGGGGATTTGCCTGATATATCCCTCAAGTTCACATCGGCTTCAGTATTCTCAAGCAGGAACTTCAGAACGGTTGAATTCGAGTCTTTGGACGCGGCGTATGAAAGCGGTGTTCGACCCTTGTTGCATCTGGAGTTTACCTCGATTGAATCTGATTCAACGAGTAGCTTCACGACATCATAGCGATCGTTTTCAGAAGCAAGTGAGAATGCCGTTCGGCCGCTTGTGTCCTTCTGGTCAATATGGACTTGACCGGTTTCAACAAGCAGTCTGACAACAGCGGCATGCCCTTGCTTAGAAGCATGAAAGAATGCCGTTCGGCCGTCTTTGTCCTTACGCTGGATATGGACTCGCCCAGTTCCAATAAGCAGGCTGACGATGGTGTCATGTCCGTGTATGGACGCGTGACATAATGGTGTCAAGCCAGACTCGTCCGGTTGGTCGATGTTTATCTGGCCATTATTCACAAACAAGTGGCAGATGGCCAAGTGCCCACTCTTGGCGGCGTATGACATCGCCTTGCTGAATCGAGTGTCTGCAATAACGATTTTGGTCTCTCCTAGCTCGAAGAGCAGAGCAACGACCATTTCGTTGCCGAATTCAGACGCATGCAGAAAGACGCCTTTTTTCGCATTGAAGGTGAAATCCCGTGAATGCTTGTTTAACACGGTCCATTCCTGACGGTGGGACATCTTCAAATTTTTGAGTGCCAAGCTGCTAGGATTGGCTTCTTTATGAGCAGTCAAAAATGCGTGTACAGCATCAGAACTCTGGGTAACTAGAGCCGCAAGCATTGGGGTACCATACCTCTCATCTTCAACTTTGAAGCATGCCAGCTTGTGGCGGTTGATTCTGATGAGTTTGGCTCTGTTTTGCTCAGCTAAGATGTACAACAGGCTGGCATTAGGCGTATGCCGACGTATTCTGTGCTTTTCGAAAAGATTGTCCAAGGTTATCCAACCGGCGAGATCAAACGATTGAAGAAATTCAAGCTGGCCGACTCCTGCTTCTTCCGCTTTGTCGCTGTGATACAGAACCTGCTGCGTGGCATACTGCAGAAAGGGAAATTTCTTCTCTGCCGATTCTTGCAGCTTATGGGCTTCGCCGGACGAGGCTTGTGGGAGAGTCTTGCCGATTTGCACGGATGTGGCAACATTAAGATAGTTGATGCAGCAGCATTTCAGTCTTTCATGACATTGCCCGCTGAAGTTACTGCCAAACTCGGACCAGATTTGACTCAGTCCATCGTGCTTCAGGAGAAAATCTCTCACCGACTCATGGATGAACTGGACTGTCGGGGTTTTTGCCTTGGTGACTTCAGTGAGGCCCTTGGAGGAATCAAGGATGAACCTCTTCATAATGTCGGCTGTGATATCCTCAGGGTCCCAGTCAGACAAGGCTTCGGTTGAATCGATCTCAACCCCGGACAGTATCGCAAAGTACAGTTGCTCCGGTCTCAACGGCTCCTTCGCGAAGAGCACCCATTGGATACAAAGAAGCAGTTCATCCCTGTGGTGGCGATCACGGACCAAAATGTCTCGAAACAAAGTATTCAGGTCGCTAGGGATTTCTCGAAGTCTTTGTCGAAGTCGATGCATGCGACCTCCGTCGTATTCCTTGTTGAGAATGTCCACGACCAGAACAACCCACATGAAAACTCCAGACGCCTTTTCCTGAAGATCATGGCGGATCTGCTGGGCGACTTTGCTATCCCCGATCTTCAATTCGCTGCTCACATAGTTGATGATGTCATCCTGATGCCCTTGTTGCCCTTCCAGAACGAGGCTGACTGCCTTCGAAATCGTGATGTAAGGGTAATGCCTACTCGAGAAGCAGACCTGAAAGCTCACCCTCTTCCGCGTAGTAGCTTCGGCAACGTGTTCGAAGAACGACACCGTGTTCCGTATCTCATCTTCGTCACACTCATCCAGTGCGTCTATGAAGCAAGTCACAGACAGATTCTCAATGTTCAAGACTGCCTCTTCGAAAAGGTCTTTGAGGGACTCAAGAGTCCACACTAGAAGCCCGTTTGTTGGTGTCATCATAGCTGGAAAGTCTAAGAACGTCCGAAGCTGAGGAAAACCGACAATAAGTTGAACAAGCAGCGATCTGTACATTCCCGTTGTGGACTTCTCCAGTTGCTCGCCTCGTGCGTTGAAGAAGAAGGTGATTAAAGTGCTTTGCTGCATTTTCTTGCGGTAATTCGTGGATATGAACTTCATCAACGTCGATTTCCCTGTTCCTGGTTTTCCTTTGATCCATAAGAAACCATGATGTGTGTCGCGTTTGCTATGATCCAGCCAGTCGAGATACTGAGAACTTTTCAGTACCCATTTGCATGTTCTAGCGTGCGCTCTCTTAATAGTCATTTGCCGAGCATCAATTTGTTCGAAGGTCAATGATTCCAGCAGTTGCTTTCTTCGTTCGTCAATCAGGTGTTGTTCCCCATCAACGGCAACCCCCAGGTTGCGCAACTGAGTTGATGTCGGAGCTGGCGTTGGAGAACATAGCCGACTAAGCTCAAACAACAGATCTTTGGCATATGCAGCAGCAGCAATGGCTGCGTATCCTTGCCATGCCTTGTTCTTGTGGGAGTCAGAGTAGTCGCAAATGCCGCGAATAACCAAGCAAGGAAGGGTGTTGCTTAGACCTGCAGCCTCCATTTCGAAGCATAAGAAGTTGTGTTCGATGGCAAGCTTGTCGCGAATTAAGGCGTCTTTCATCACCTGGTTGGCTGAGGCAATTGTTCCGTAGTGAACAACAAGCTTGTCCGCAGCCCGCGCAGGTCTGTCCACGATCTTTGAAGGGGCATGCCCACAAACTTCGGCACAGGGCCCCTCAGACGTTGAAGGGTGGACAACACTGCTTCGATAAAGCATGTCGCTATCGTGACCTGGACGAGCATATTCACTCTTCAAGTTTGGGTATTCATCAAGAATATCGCTGATGGTCTCTTGTATTTGGTGCCCGCCTCTCCTGTGCCGGGCTTGGAGTCCGTTGACTGCGGTGCTCAAGCGCCATGGCGGCTGGTTCAACAAACCGGTTTTCTGAAAGTTTTGACCTTGTACGGCCTTTCCGAAGTCGTATTGAACCACACTGCTCTGTCCATTACGAGGAGTACCGACCACGATATCTCCGAGACGGATATCGTTCTTGCGTGTCGGAGCGCCGCCAGCAATGCCCACCATCAGACCGATGCGGACGTGGGGAAAGCTATGCAGCATATCCCTAGCAACGGCTGTCGCGGCCGATGTGCCATATTCTGGCAACACGGCCATGACAATGTTGTGCTGCCCAATTCTGCCCAGTGTATAGTGGCTCGCATCATGCAAGGGGAGGTCGTGATGGCGCTCGTGCTCTTCGTCTAACAGCGCCTGCCCAGCGACGTACTCCGTAACTATGGCGCAGATCCAGCCCACAGTGTATTCGTGGCGCGCGAGTCTGGGTTTTGCCTCTCGTACCACGTGGCGTCGCTTGTCGAGATGCGCATGTGGTGCATAGTCGGGATTCTCGTGAAGAACTTTTCGTTTCGGCTCCATTCGAACAGGGACACGGGGGTGCCGACTTCGTCACAAAGGGGAGAGACACGAATTGCATAGCAGGGGTAAGACACGTCAGGCTGCGCGGGAAGTCAGCTTCATTCGGCTTGTTGAGCATTCTGTTAGTTCCCTACCTTGCACACAGAGGAGCTGGGCTTCCAGGCTGGGTTCAATGGAAGTATTGTCGAGGGCTCAGCAACTTTGGCGATGAAGGCCAACAACGTGTTTTCGCAGCAACCACGAGAATACGCGTGAGCGACGGAAATGGCGACGAGAATGGAAGGAGAAAATGGATCTTGCTGTGCCGTTCAGTCTAATTCAACCCCGTGTGTCTCACTACAGCGACTGTGCCACCTTCACGTCTGCTGCAACAAGGTGTTATTGGTAGAGGGTCCCACTGTTACCCCCTGACTTTTGCATTGCAACCTGCCCGCTGACTCTTCGCCCGATAGCTTGCCTTGGGTAGATGGCAGTGCTGCCAAGGTGATAGGATGTTTTGGAGGCAACACCGTGGTGCTTTGAGGCTATCGCCGACTGGCGTTGTCCCACGAAACGATTGAGCCATCTCGACCAGACTTTCACAATGTCACGGGGAATGAGAGGCATTGTCGCGTCGATCAGTTGGTTGGGAATTGGATATGTAGCCTGCAATATCGAGTTTTATTTAGAGATGGGCGTTTACTCATACGAAACCTGACTCCATGTATGACCTCGCTGCCGGTGAAGTCCTCATCGTCAAACTCGCAACGTCGGATGAGCATCTCACAGCGTACTCAAACAAGATTCCCAATTTCTTCTTACTTCAAAGGACTCCCATTGGCAAGCTTTGGCTCCTAAAGAGAGCAGTAATTAATGCGATGTGTGACCACATGGCCTTTTTACGCCGGACAGTACAATTCCATCTGCGACAGTGTTTTCGCTATGAATTAATCACGGTAGTTGTGATTGTAAACTCTTGGTCGACCCGGATGACAGAACGCGTCCTTCGAGACGCGTTGCCTTTCTGGCCTTCCCGCACTTGAATGGGAACGAGTTCCACGTCGCTACGATTGCTCTTCTTCCCATCTGACCAGGAATCGTCTTCCGACTCTCTGCCTCTGTGTCCTGAACGGCAGGTCTCTGCAAATGCAGGTCTATTGACCTCAATACCGCTCTCGTCGTCACCTCCCGGTCTTGGATTGGCTTCATGGTGTCTGTTATGTAAACTGTGGTTATGACCGTAAGACCGTTTAGCGGCAGAGTTAGCGTCAAAACGTAGTCGAAGGTATTGACGTAATGATGGGATACAAGCAACTATCAGCGCAATGTGCTCGTCGAGGATAGCCCATATTTCTTGGGTAGACGTCTGTTAGCACTTGGAATCCTCGGGGATATCTTGAAACTTTGAAAGTAGGTATAGGCTCAAGGCTGAGTCAAACTGATAGAGAAAGCTTACGAATCATGGTGAGCGATTTTGAGGACGTTGGCTCAAGTTGTATACTCAAAAACCTCGCTAGGCTAACGGCAATATCAAACAGGCCCAGGGCGAAAGTTGTATAAATGCCAACCATGGTGCTTCTCTTCATCTGTAAACCCTTAAGAATGAAGAATGGCATAACCAGTACTTTCCACACTCGTTAGCACTCATTTGTGGAAGCCTGGCGGCGGAACTCTCGACTAACTGCATAGATTGGCACTAAAATGTAATGCCCACGACACATGGAAAATAGTTGTCATGATTTGGATGCTGCAGAGACCTGATGGGTTCAAAAACGACCTGGAGAGGCGGCATTAAGCAAGAGACTAGGGGAAGGGCTTTTCAAGGGTCGCCATACCAATTACGCTCGATGGGCCAGCAAAGGAATAACTGTAATGAAATCGAAACGATATAACCTGAGACGCAATAGACAATTGTCGCGTAAAGCATTTTGCGCAAGACCGTCATAAATGGTGGGAATAATTGGAGGTATGTCGCGAGTAGAGCAAATTTGCAGAAGTAAAGAGCGCTGAAGAAGGGGAAAATGGTCACCCAGATTAACTGAACTCTAGACATGAGTCTCTTCCGATATTGGGTTCAAGTGGATGCATGCGTGGTCACTCACCTTTCTCACATGTTCAAGCTTAGCGGGGTTGGCCTCCCAGTTGAAGAGGGTGTAGTTGATATCAGGATGCAGTACGTCTTCGTTGCGCATAAGAATAACCAAAACAGCTTGTGCTACACAGCTAAACCATGCGATGACCAAAAGTCCATCGCTGAGTGCGAGAGGCTGTGACTGGATCTGCAGCCGAAGCCACAGTCGTGCTAGGATGAGAAGACCTGACAAACCGAGGAGTGTGAACAAGCAGCCCTAACAACAGTGATCGCAATGTCAGCCTCGCCACATCTAAACTTCATCGCTGAAAAGGTAGGAAGCATACTAGCACTCCAGCAGCAGAGGGTGCTGCCATACTACTGATCATTGGCGAGAAATCGTCGTTGTGATATGTGGAGAGTATTGGAAATGCACCATCTACTCGTAGTATAGATTATAACAAAAAAAACAAAAGCGCCAAACGGAATGGATTGAGTTGAGAACTTATTCCGTGTCAAACAGCATTCAATCGCAGTATCGTCGCAACTTGAATTAGAATGCAATAGACCCAGAGACTGCATTCCAGAAGGCTACACGGACAGTCAAGTCAACACATCAGACGATTGGGTCTGTTGATGAATTTTTCCAGGCCCTGGCAATTTAAAATCACATGAGGACTGTTCCTGCCAGGGTTCAATTACCCCTTGTAGTGACTTCTGCGGCAAGCAATACTGGGGGACCAACGCAAGCGATGTCAACAAGGTTTATGACAAAGTGTTGCGAAATCTTTACCCTGCGATACCCCCATGCTTGCTGTTGTTATCCGGATGTATCCGGTAGGTCTACGAAATAGGTGGGATTTTGTCGGACCTAACGTGTTCGAAAGACAACAGGAGACCGCTTGAGCGTTGGGTCTAGCCTCTATTTTCTTGCTTGCGCGTATCTTTTCCATTCGTAAGGGGAAAAAAAAGGAGCGAAGTCAGTTATCAGCTCCAAAGTTCTGTAAAGCTATAGATGTCTTGATCTAACATCCAGATGGCAGAGACTGAGCTTGGCTGGGCTAAGCAGCCCACGGGCAACATGGCTCGCACCGCCAAGTGGGATCAGCAGTTCAGCACAGCTTCCGTGCTCGTGTTCACGGAGGCAAATGAGCTGCGGTCGTTTAAGATTGCAAGCCCCATCAAGCCGAGGCAGATCTGCGTACGAGTGTGCTGGATGTTGCAGGAAACGAGTCATTTTCACCGCTTCAGTCGGCCATCTTCGGCCCCACTACCCGGGATTCAGGCCCCATTTTCTATGCCGCCCGGGGTTGGCTTTCAGCATAGATTCGGAAAAGTCTTCGGGGCCGCCTTCACTGGTGCAGACGTTGGTTATCCCCTGTTACCCTGGCAGATTGTGAGTCTGCTAACGGCGGCCCAAAGTCCTACAAAGCCGAGGCTTATTCTCAACATGATAATCGATTGCCGTGTACGGTGTGGCTTCTATTGGCCTCGTTTCACTTCCTCCCAGTTAATCTCATGGCCTCCATGATGCTTGAAGACTTTTTCGAAAACTCAGCTCTAGTTTCTGCCGTCTTCCTGGCGGGCTTAAACTTCTTCGGTTCCTTCAGTGTTCTTGCCAGCTGTTGCAGAAACAAACGCCGGGCTCGACGCCGTTCTACATTTACTCGCGGTGGCTTCTATTACCCAATGGGCCACCGCGCAAACCATCATTGTCGATGGGGTTACAGTTGGTGGATTTCTGAAAGACAGGCTCTGGGTAAGATATCATGTCCCGCACTTTGAACGCAACGAAGGAAAAAGTCGCCCCGGCCGTTAGCTACGTCTCCTGAGATTTTCTCCCGGAAGAGTCTCTTCAACTGACGGATCAGGCTCTTCTCAAGCTCACAAGGTTAGTTCATACTAAAGTCTCATAATTTCAATTCGGCGGCAATGCCACTGGAAAATATCAAGTTCATCTCAAAGGCGTGTTGCTAAGCGCTACAAGATGTATTCCTGAAACCTCCTCTAGCCCAACAAAAGTTCCTAGAAAGCTTTCAATTTACTTCTAAGCGACATTTTAACTAAGACTGTTTCTATCGTGTCCTCATACGTTAATGGTTCCGGTAATCAGGACGCCTCTAAATGCGCAATCAACAGTACTAGATAGAACGATTCGATGTTGTAATGAGTCAACTTCAGGGATATGGGCCTACCACGCGCACCATCTGAGCTGATACTCGTGTCCAGCATTTCTAACTCGACCTCGGTAATGAGTTCCTTCTATCAAGGGCTCGCATGTCTTTCTTCTGAGAACTATTACACCAACTGTACTTTGAGAGGATTTCCGGAGTACGTTGTTGAAGCGTCCAAGGTAGCCCAGATGCAGCATGCGGCCAGCTCCGCCCGCACTCATACCTTGCGCCTTGTGGTCACAAATACCGGCCGCGATTTCAGCGGCCGATCTCTTGGTTCTGGTGCTCTAATAATCTGGACGAACAAGCTGAAGAGACTTGAGTTCTACAAAGAATACAGCTCCCCAACGCACACAAGATTTGCGATGAAGGTCGGAGATGGAGACCTTATCTACGAACTTTACGAAGCTGCAGATGCGCATGGTGTCGTTGTGGTTGGAGGAGAGGGCAAGACTGTCGGCCTCGGAGGAGGTTAAATTGCTGGTGGCGGGCACTCCCTTGTCAGCCCATTGTACGGTCTTGCTGATGGTCATGTCCTCGGCATCGACGTTGTGACGCCCGATGGTAAATCCATCCCAACGAGTGAGAAGAAGACCAGACCTGTTTTAGGCTCTCCGGGAGGTGGCAGAGGCACCTTTGGCGTTGTGACTTCGTAGTTCATCAAAGCCCATCCCAGCTTACGCGTCATCTTCGGTGCCAGTTTCAGCTTCGGTATCAATGGTTCTGCGGTCGGGCACCTATGAAGCATTCTGGGAAGCTGTGCGAGCTGACTGAGAGATGATGCCCACTTTCAACGACCGTGGAAACTACCAAGGTTGGTTCTTTCACACCCAAATAGAGGTGGGTAGTGAGTACTGGTACGTGACGGGTCAGTTGGATGGGTTGCCTACACAAAATGGTCGTCTTTGTCGTATGTAGAGGGTCAGCCTGCTCTGCCTGCATTGATGCTATTCGTTCCAAGCCTTGCTCAGTGACATTCGAAACAACGAGGAATTCAATAATCTCAAATAAGAAATGGACCCGCGATGTTAAGCCCTGCCAGTTCAGCTGAGTTACTCTTGACTACTCCCCCAGTCTTGATTGGTTCCACAGCAATTCCTCGCGTTGAATTGGTCAACCAGCCAATGAGTTGAGACAAACAACCAAGACAGGCATTATCCTCACGTAGAATTAAGCTTGACGAGATGATGGATATCTTTCGCAACATTTAACTGTCCGAATTCTCCGATCCCGATCTGTGAGCCAAACCGGCCCCGTGGGAGATCCCACGTCAGCGTGTCAGACCCAGCCTCAACGCCTACCGCGGGTCAATCGATGATGCTGCGCCCACCGCGATTGCAAACCAATCATGTTATACTAGTCTTTCGGCTGAAATTCGTCATCCCTAACCTCTCGGGCGCTCATCAGCCTGCGTGCGGTAAGCTGGGCTGCGCGACGGGCAATGTTGAAGCACAGAGCAATCGTCGTGGTTTATCCACATGAGAGTCAAGGACGCTGATGTGATTGAGCCGACGTGGAGATATTTGGAATACACACAAAAGGATATCATGATTGATTCTGTGTCAGTTTCCGCAGCTATATATACGGATCTGTCGCGACGGGTCACTGATGGGATTTGAACTCAGAGCAAGCACAACCATCAGTACAAGTAGTACAGCTCACTCAATTTTCAACAGACTCGTCATCGTCAATTTCAATTCAATCTTCACCTTCAAACCCAAAAATGCTCGCCAGTGTCATTAACACCGTTTTCACGGCTACCCTGACTCTGTCTGCCCTGGGAGCCGCTGCTCCTCATCGCAGAGACAACGGCTCAACGCCAGGCCTCAGCCTGACAGCTCAATTGCAACTTGCCGACACGTATGTGCACTCACTCATGGATCGTGTAGGCATTGCTGACAAAAAAATCAGTGCGGTCGACAGGTATCGCCTTCTTCCGAGCGATGAGGACTTTGTCTTTGACTTCAAGAAGACTCAGTCCTTCTTCGCCAACCGCCAGACCTTCCCTGCCCTGACTGGTCTTGGTGGCAGCATGGCTATCGCGGAAGTTCCTGGTAATGGTGGATCTCAGACTCGGCTTTTTATCAGACACTAAGAATCATTCAGCCTGCAGCATGAGCTTCCTTCACACTCACCCGCGAGCCAGTGAGCTATTCGCCGTGGTCTCCGGGCGTATCCTCACCGAAATGGTCACTGAAGCCGGCGTGGTTGGAGCCGATGGCAAACCGCGAGTCATTCGCGCCGACCTTGGGCCTAGTAAAATGACTGTTTTCCCTCAGGGCGCCTTCCATACTCAGGTTAACCCGGAGTGCAGTCCCGCCTCTGTTGCGGTCTCGTTCACCTCTGAGGAAGCAGGCGTGGGTCTCATCGCGAGCCAAACTCTTGCTGTGAGCGACGATGTCATTGAGCGTTCCTTCGGAAACACCATCGCCGGCGAAGACATTGATAAGGTGCGAGATGCTATTCCCAAAGGAATGGCTACCAAGGTGGATGAGTGCTTGAAGAAGTGCGGCATTTAGAAGCGTGCTGCTTATGATTTGGCGCAGAAACATCTCTAGGTCCATGGGTGCAAGAAACACTGTGCTCTAAGGCTTTATACATCCATCCCTTTAACTCCTTTCTTTCTTTTGTTTGTGACAAATATTGGCCAAGTTTTCCTGTCCTTTCCGGCAACATCAATCATTACCTACCTTTTACAATCACTTAACGCACCTATTAAATAGCTAGGTGAGATATATAGCAGAACAGAAGAGAACAAGCTCGGCTTCTGATGCTTCCTCGCATACAAATTCGGGTCCCGACTGTTCCATTGCAATTGGTGTGTGACGCAAGGGAAGGCCCAATCTCCCCTGAGGTCGGGCCCGAAGTCGGGGCGATATATCTTGGCAACATATCATCTGCGAGGTAAGACTTGCAGTTGTGAGTAGGGCCGAACGTTCGGCAAATTTAACAAGCATGGTGTAGCCGGCAACGGGGCAGCGGCGGATGCCATGACGTGTGCGGAGCTCCGCTGGCATAGGGGGAGGGTCTGTGGTCCTTGGGTCTTGGGTCTGGAGCCGGTGATCTCGGCCCCCGACTACCGTTGCACGTGTTAGTCAATGTTACTTCGTGAGAGAGTAACGCCGACTTTTGTTATATCGTGAGCGGATCTCATGTACAGTTGTTTCCTAATATGGCGTAGCGACGCGGTTGATTAGTGGAAACGTCTCTCTTAACCGTGATTGTTATTCTCTATGGCCTCTATACTGGATGCCGGTAACTCCAAGGGAAACTCTTGGGAGGAAGGCTGGAATCACCATAGTATTCTTTTCGATGATCGCGCTCATGATGAGAGTAATTTTTGGATATAAAGTGTGATCATGCAACCCAACCAGATAGTGTATGGAATGAGACAACGAGCGGCTTCTTCTCGATTGAGCTCTTTGTACCATCTCTTAGAAACCCTTCCTCGAGATGTATCTGTCAGCCGAGGCTGTGGCTATTGCCTTGCCCACGCTGCAATTCGGAGCAGTTCGTGGCCAGCAGCTTAAGCCCATGATTCTCGCAGATACCAACCGCGACGGCATCGTGGATGACAGCGACGCCACGGATAGAGCATTCTGGACCTCTTCTCGCGGCGCAATCTTCCTACCAAACGTCGGCGACTCTCTTAACCGTTGTCCTAATCAGGATCTTCAGGGAAATCCTCTCAGCAATCACGAATTAGCATCTTGCCACGATGCTTCGGGCCACCTACTCATTGAGCTAAGCCTGGTTGCTCCCCTAAAGACGATCCCATTGGAAGTTTCAAACGACACTATTGCCCATATCTACGCCACGCCTGACGCCGCATTTGAAAGAGTTCATCTCTTTTACATGAACGATTCGTCCGCAAACCCCGCCGAAACTGCCTCTTGAAGCTTTGTGGATCCCGAGTTTACCTTCAACGCAAGCCATGTCCAAGCCGGCATCACTCTCGGAATCGATGGGCGCGAGTTTTTGAAGGATTTGACAAGATGGGACGGCAAAGTGAGGGTGCATTTCGATGTTCACACTAACAGCACTATCATTTCCGACGCCGTTGAGCTCAGGGTGGCCCCAGTTCTTACACACCACCATCTCCAACGTTACAGCGCCTTTGTCAGTACCGCAGCAAACGAGTCCGATCCCATACAGCTCGGTTTTAGCGGCCAACTTGATGAAGTGCGGAAGGCAGCAGGGATACAGGAGCCATTATATCTGTTCAATCAGAGTGACGATATTTGGGCACAGGATTTTGTTGAACCGGCGTATGCTAGCATGCCTGGACCCAACGGCCAACCCATCTCCCTCAGAATTATGCTGAGATCAGCGCAGTCGGTCCGCGCTGCTGGACGACAGGTCTTTGAGCAGCTTCGCGGGAAAGGTGTTGGCGGTTTCCAACCTGAGGGCGGACGTGGCGGCTACGGCGACCGAGAGATTAACGCATACGGCAATCTCGAAACAATCCCACCCTACACATCCAAGAGTGGAGTAAAATATCCCGCCTGCCGGATCATCCATGGCAAGCATTACGACAAGATGCCAACGGAAGCGACTGTTGCCTTCTTGGAAGGCCAAGAGCTTCAAAACCCTCTTTTCCTTGAGTCCGGCTGGCTACTCATCGGCCATGTTGATGAGTTCGTCCAGTTTCTACCTTCCAACGAAACGGGCCTTGGCTTCACGATTGGTATCACTGACACCACGTCCGCCCTCGACTTGCTCAGAAATACCTCAGCGGCGGGGCATGTTGGTGTGCGGGCGATTTCTTTCAACGGATCCGTTGAAAGCTCCTCTTCTATCACGATAGAAGAGCTGACCATGACGATCGATGAGCATCTTGCTAATGAGATATTTCACGAGGTCAACGCTTATGCGCAAAGGCATATTGATGCTAATTTGGGAATCTTGCTCGCCGAGATACCTATCCTTCGAGACCATGTGATTCGCATCCCCTCGCTTTTCAAGGCTCCCAAGGTGTCCTCGCTCTCCTCTTTTACTGAAACAGTGACGAACGGCGAGTATTTGCTAGTGAGTTTCAGCCCGGCGGCTATCAACGGCGTCGTGTTGGGCAACTACTACGTAAGTCCCAAGACTTGGGGCCCGGTGGTCGAGGGACAAGACATCTTGGAGGTTGCCATCCGGGAGGCATACGCAAAGGCTGGCATGGAAGTCAGGTTTGTGGACGATTTCATGTCACATCACCACACGTTCGGTGAGGTTCATTGTGGAAGCAACACATTCAGGGAGACGGACGTAGCGTGGTGGGAGTAGGGCTGAGTCCTGACATTCTCGCGGTGTACGGGAATGGAAGGAGAGGACGGGAGGGGCCTAAGAGTCATATTTCTAATGAGCTATGTAGCGGAGATATCTGTAGCATAGGAGCATGTGCTCTGCAGTAAATCACACCCCTTTCGACCTCCAAATCTTCCTCATTGCCTATTCCGCACGTAATCTGCCCTTCCCGTGATGTCAGTTCATACAATAAACTCTCCTGGCCTGGTTTGGATTGCCCCTCAATTCTTGAATTACGGGGCGAATGGTTACCTCTCAGTGACAGTGGACACGATAGACGTCAACCGGACCTGGTGTCATCAATGCTCGAGTTGCGAGGATGGCAGTCTCAGAGCCAGAGTGGTCTGATAAAACTAGCTGACTCAGGAGCATGCTCTGAAGCGCTATAATACCAATAAGTGAGTTTGTCAGTGGGTCTTGTGCTCTAATTAGGTGCAAGAGCCTCTTTATTTCTGACGAGTTAAGTTGCTCGCTTGGGCTTTGCATTCTGCTCAGTGATGCACTTGGTTGTCTTCTACGGAGCGTCTTTCAGCCCGTGCGTTGACGTTGTCTTGTTTGCCCTACAGGCTGGTTGCATCCATCTCGAGTGTGATCAATGTGCCAAGTACAGCGCGTCGATGAAGAGGGCCAGAGAGAGAGCTGCCACCAACGGATGAAGGTCGCTGCACGTGGAAACATCAAGCAAGGAAAACCAGGCTAGTCTTATCACCACTGCCAAGCCAATCTAAGCTTAAACGGGGTTACACGGGATGAACAGGAAAATGCTGGGACTCGCGTTGAGGAACTTTTGAATGGCTTAGACGAAGCCCGTGTTTCTTTCCTAGCTGTCGGTCCAGACCACTTTGTCGGTATTACTCGTGCGTATCAATCAAGCCAAGGTTGTTTCTAGGGATTGAAAGGCAAGAAGTCTCGGTTCACGCTGCCTCGAAACATTTCAAGTATTACGCAATTCAGTTCACAAACACCAACAGCAAGCAGCGTCTCCGGCACCGACGAACAGAACCACGGGGGCGGCGCGCTGGGCCGCTAATTTCGGGGGTAGCATCGACCTGCCGAATCGGGGCAAACTCCCCCGCATCGTACGGAGCTCCCGCGGGGTCCCTGGCGTCCAGCTTGAGGTGACACTGGCGCAACTCGGTGAGGGGAACGACGCGTATGGCCCAGAGCTCCCTGCTCGCCTCGCGTGTCTGTCCTTGCAAGATGGCCTTGGCATCGCGGGACTCATCAGCCCATTGGTGAAAAAGAAACAGCGATAAATGATTGTCTGTGGTCGGGCAAACTTGTCATACCGCAAAAGTTCCTGATAAGTGGTTCCTGGGAAGAAAAGTGCGTCAGCAGCTGCATGTCTCGCCAGCTGCCTCGTCGAGTACACGTTAGGTGACGCTTATCGATGATTGCGTCGGTTTGTTCTATCTTGAACCATCAACATGAAGGATATTGAATCAATTGCTGACGACAAGCAGCGCTGGGCTTTTGCCGACTGGGTTCTTACCTAGTCAATTGTCCCCGAACACCGCAGCCGATGGTCCTCGAGTCCATGCTCACCAACGTTGGGGACGTTGCAAGCCGCAAGGCAGGCAAGGACAGGCCTGGCCAACGAGCCTGGCGATCAACATCATCATGCAGCTGCGCAAGCCCAGGGTATGATCCGGGCGGAGCAGGGCAAATGAGAAGGCTTGGCAGACATGCTATATAACGCGCATCACCAGTTTTCGTCGAACTTGCGACGCCTTTGCTCCCCAGGTCCCAGCCAAGCCTCCCCAGAATCATTCACTCGATCGTCGGTCCCTCACAATGAAGACTTCTGTCGGCGCCCTCCTCTCCCTCGCACTTCTCGGCGAGGCCTGCCTCCTCCCCCACGAGGCAGCCGGCCGCAAGATCACCCGTCGCCAGATCAACAACAACACCGGCGTAGCCATCGGAACTGGCGACCGCTTCGACGGCGGCAACAAGGTCCCCCGCGGACTTGGCACACAGCCCGCCGGCACCGACCTCGCGACTCTCCTGAACGTCAACGAGATCAAGAGCGCCGTCCGCGGGCTAGTCAACGAGTACGACATCGAGTACTTCGAGGCGCCTTTTAAGACGTACCAGAACGCCACCATCTTCGGCGCAAAGGTCGGCGGCGCGGGCAACTGCACCGATGCGTATCGCGTGTACTTTAATGCTGCGATCCACGCCCGCGAGCGCGGCGCTTCGGACAATATCATCTACTTCATCTCCGACCTGTTGTACGCTAACAAGCATGGCGAGGGGCTGACGTACGGAGGACGGACCTACTCCAACTGCGACGTCCAGCGTGCGCTGGCGACGGGCATCGTCTTCACGCCGCTGAGCAACCCCGACGGCGTGGCGTACGATCAGGCCACGGGCAGCTGCTGGCGCAAGAACCGCAACCCGGCGGCGTCGGGAGGAGACCCGGAAGCGGTGGGGATCGACCTCAACCGCAACTTCGATTTCCTGTTCGACTTCCTCGAGGACTTCGCGCCCACCGTCGGACCGAACGTCGCGTCGGAGAACCCTGCGGACGAGACGTACCACGGAGCAGCGCCGTTCTCGGAGCCTGAGACGCAGAGCATCAAGTGGGTGATGGACGAGCACAAGCAGGTGCAGTGGTTCATGGACATCCACTCGTACACCGGCACGGTGTTGTACAACTGGGGCAGCGACGAGAACCAGCTGCGGAAGCCGTACATGAACTTCATGAACGAGAGTTACGACGCCGTGAGGGGCTTGATGCCGGATACGCCCTCCGACGGCGGGTTCTACGGCGAGTATGTGCCGACGAAGGACTGGTCTGAGAAGGTGTTCGCTGCGATGAGGATGGGCAACGCGATGGATGCGGCCGTGGGAAGGCACCACGAGGTGCAGCAGAGCGCGTACCTGTACCCCACGTCTGGTGCCAGCGACGACTATGCTTTCTCGCGACACTTCTCGGATCCCAGCCTGAGCAAGATTCATGGCTTCACGGTTGAGTTCGGATTTGGAAATGAGGAGGTTGACTGCCCGTTCTACCCGACAGCCCAGCAGTATCACGACAACATGCTCGAGACGAACGCGGGTTTCATGGAGTACCTTCTCGCGGCGTCTGAGATTGGCGTTGGTGAGCCAGCCACCTGTGCATGAAGAGCCTCCCGGGATGGGGAGAATAGAACATAGCAGAAGATTGTATACAGATCTACCATAAGCCCTGGGTGGAAGGGGCAAACGATAATGTAATGAGTGTATGAGATACCTGTCCTCCTGGATTTCGAAATGGTGATGCCTCAGTGAGTAATGTTCCCGGCGTAAATCAATCTAACGAGTTCTGCGAGATGCCCCCCACCGTTGGCTGGCAAGATGACGGAGACTCAATCTTGCATCCCGAATTAATGATATCTTACTTGATAAGTAATTTTTGAAGGAGATTGGTAGTCGTGCTGACCAGACGACAGCAATGGCATGAATCATGCCACAAGGCCTCATCGCTGCTCCCCCAACCAATTTTTCGATCTCAGTTGCAACAAGTCCATCTAAATGCGGTGGTCTCATATTGAGAAGCCGTTGAGCCCGGTGCTGGCGACGGCGGGAGTGGAACGAGGTCACCGCCATCCATCCAGCCACACCTACTTAGTACTCAAATTCACGCGGAACTTTCACCGGCTGTGTGTTCTAGTGGTTCATGATTTCTCGTTCACAAGATGTGCACTTGATCCCGAGAAGGTCGCAGGTTCGAGCCCTGCCACGGTCATGGCAAAATCTTTTTGCTGGATTTGTGAATGCTTTGCAAGGTGTTCCGACTTGAATCTCGCATGCGCCGCATGTCCGCAGCTCAAGGGCGATGGGTGTCGAGATTGAGTGCAGACGCTGGCTGGTGCTTCTCTGTACTTTTGTCGAGAGTCCAAGCGAACCATCTCCCCCCAAGCTCAAAAGTACCCAACCGACGGCCGAACATTGGATCCTTCTCATGTTCCCCGCCTGCCGGTGACGACTGACCGAGCTCGCTTGGCTATCCGGAGCATCTCCCGGGCCTACCCCCATGAATCCTCCGGCGCATCCCTCTCCGTGAGGCAAGCGCATTACCAATCCACCCAGATCACACCCGCCAGCTTCACAAACAGATAGACGATTCATCCCAAGAGTACATTATCATCCCCATCATCACCTACAACCAGCACCATGACGACACCAACAGCCCCGCAACCCTTCCGCGTCCTGCTCTTCAGCAAAACAACCGGCTACCGCCACGACTGCATCCCCACAGCCGTATCCGCCCTCCGCGATCTCGGCGCCCGCACCGATATCTTCACCGCCGACGCCACGGAAGACGCCGAGACCGCACTCACCCCTACCTCCCTCGCCCGCTACAAGACCGTCGTGTTTCTACACAACACCGGCACCGACGTCCTCAACGGAGCGCAGGTGGACGCGCTCAAGGGCTATATCCGCGCAGGCGGCGGGTTCGTGGGCGTGCACGCCGCCGCGTCGGGGCTCAAGGGGGATGAATGGTACGGCAAGCTCGTCGGCGCGCATTTCGATTTCCACCCGCCGCCCGAGGAGGGCACCGTCGTCGTGGAGGACGAGGGGCATTTCATCATGGGAGACTGCGGCTGTGAGAGGAAGGGCTGGATGGACGAGTGGTACAATTTTACGTCGCACCCCAGGCGGAACGAGAACCTCCACATTCTGGCCCGGGGCGACCCGTTGAGTTACTCCGGCGGCGCCATGGGGGATGATCACCCGCTTGCATGGTGTCAGGAATTCGAAGGCGGCCGGTCGTTTTACACCGCCCTCGGCCACTTCGACGAGGCTTACAACGACGAGTGGTTCATGGGCCAGCTTCTCCAGGGCATTATTTGGACTGCTCGCGCCGACCAAGGGCGGGCGTAATGTGTAAAGAGCAAAGGGTATCATACGTAAATACACGGCAACTCCGTGATGCCTGACTAGCCCGCCATCGCAATCCCGTTTTCAGGCCCCCCGCTAAATCGCACCTCGAT